TGAGCAAGGAGAATATTTTCCCCAATAACCCTCCCCTTGAAAAAAGCAGTCTGATTCTTACTAATTACTAGGGAAGGAGAGCACTAAATCTGTTTGCCACAATCTTTGATATACATTTATAAACTATGTTGCAACATGAAATAGGCCTAAAAAGCTTCATCTCATCTGGATTCTGGACCTTAGGAATCAGAGCAAGGATAGTAGCATTTACCTCTCTAGGTATCTTCCTAGAAACAAAACAACTCTTGATAGCACTAGTAATTTCAGCCCCAATGACTCCCCAAGAAGCTTGAAAAAATCTGGCATTATATCCATCCGGACCTGGGCTCTTATCTCCATTAAAACTAAACATAACATCCTTAACCTCAGTAGCAGTGATGGGAGCATAGAGAGAGGTCACCTGGGCAAGGTTGAGCTTATGCCTTAGCAAGCCCTTGTAGAAATCCACTGACTCCAACTCTACATGCGGATTAACTCTCCCCAGCAGATGCTTATAGAAATCAATAGCCACCTGACACATGCCTTCCACTGATGTGACAATATTTCCCTAAGCATCCTTAAGAGAAGTAATTGTATTCCTTTTGAGCCTAGTTCTCATAGAACGATGGAAAAAACCTGAGTTAGTGTCCTCTATTTTTAACCACAACTCTCTAGATTTCTGCTTCAGAAAAATTTCTTCAGCTCGAATCAGATCAAACAGTTCTTTAGAAACTTTAACTTCAACCTCAAAACTCATTTGAGTAGGACTTGAAAGGGCAGCCAATTGAATAGATTCCAGTTCTCTTTATTTATCCCTCACTCTCCCCCTTATATTAGAGAATTCCTTTTTGTTGAGCTTCTTGAGCAAACCTTTCAGTATCCTTAGCTTCTCGTAAACCCTGATCAAAGGCAAACCTCCCACAACTTCAGTCCAAGCCTGAGCAAGTAGCCCCTCATACATTGGATGCCCTAGCCAGAAATTGAAAAATTTAAATGGCTTAGGCAAAGACTTAAGAGGGAACTTAGTTTGAATAAAAACCGGGCAATGATCCGAGACCCCAGGAGATTGCATCTGCACTACACTCTGTTTCATATCTTCCAGCCACTCCAGATTGACAAAAGCCCTATCAAGTCTTCTAGCAATAGGATCACCTTGCCTCTTATTTAGCCAAGTAAACCATGGGCCAGTAGATTTGTGCTCCTCAACCTCGATATCTCTCAACCAGTCATTTAGAGACTTCATACTAGTAGAATACTGAGGACTATTTGAGCCTTCATCAGCCAAACTATCTAGAACACACTGAATAACAGACGCTTGCACCTGATTCAGAATTTCTTCAACATGATCATTCTCTGAGTTCTCCTCTACTTCCACCCGAGCAACTCATTCCTCTTCAAGACCCAACTCAGTATTCTTAGACACCTTTGGGATCCAAACCCGTTTAGGACCCTCCTCACAATTATGCCCAAACACACAAAACTTTGAGCACACCTTCGGAAGATTGCTATACTCAATTTTAATATAGAATGGAGGATCTTTCTCTGGATAAACACGAATAGAAGAGCGAAAAGAATAATCAGCAACAAGCTCAACACACGCCCGAGCAAAACCTAGCTGCCCACCCACCCTCGTCTTCTGGTCCATCCAGAACGGTTGCCCAATCATACTCGCCACCCATTCCAACCCTTCCGGAGCAAGATATTCTAGAGGGAGTCCCCAGATTCTTACCCAGATCGGCAGAGTTTCAACTTTAGGTACAATTGGCTGAATGCCTGATTTCCACTTTCAAAAGAAAACAGTGTTACCTCTGAAGTGCCAAGGCCCTGACTGGAAAACCCAATTGCACGAAGCAGCGGAAGGGAATACCCAAATTTCGACACTCTAATTATGCCATCTCGCCCCCAAAGAGAATTCGCCCAAGCCTGAAGCTCTGGTACCTTAGGTCGCGTCCCAATGAACTGCCCAATAAGAGAGTTCTTCCATCGCTCCGCTCCCTTCTCATTCACCTCTTTTGGTAGACGGAATCCGTCTTGGAACTTGATTGGTGGATGATGCTGGAGTCGATTCTCCAGAGCTACCTCAAATAGCTGTGCCCAGGAGCTGCCCTCGCCAGCCGGAGCAACCGACGGCGAGGCTGTCATCGAAAAACCCTAGAAAACCAGAGAGGAGAGAGGGGAGAGGAAAAAGAAAGTCTCTTTAAAACTAAATAACATCTATATTTTTTGATATTTTTTTGACTTGGTTTATTTGTTTCAAAATTTAATTAGTTATATTATATTTTATGGTATAAAATAGCTCCTTTTTTATTGAGTTGGATTTTGACTTAAAAGTATCGTCAACCCAACCCAACACAATTATAAACAAACTGTAGGTTTCTTATTTTTTTTAGGTGTGTTTGAGTTTAGTATTGTCAAAACTGTAGTATATAGGTCGGGTGATTAAAAAACTTGAACCACCCGACCTATGTACATCACATTATAGAGTGGAAATGAATTTTCAGTTTTGAGCCCTAAGGATGAGTTAGAGGTTTGGTCACCATACTTGCATCTAGTTACTATTTAGTTAACGTATTAAAAATGTTATATTGTAGGGTATGCCAAGTCACCGTAACTTGGAGAAAACGGTCGACCTCTTCCATCAAGTGGTCGACCACTTTCAAGAAAATGGTCGACCACTTTCCAAGAAAATGGTCGACCTCTTCCACCAATTGTCGACCACTTTTCAAGAAAATGGTCGACCTCTTCCACCAAGTGGTATACCACTTGAGTCAACCGGTCTACCGCTTCGGAAATGGGTTGACTTGATGACACAATTACCTTAAGTGGTCGACCTCTTCCACCAAGTGGTATACCACTCGAGGCAGCCGGTCTACCGTTTCTCGCAATGAGTCGACATGTGACACACTTACCATCAACTTACAATTGCTTGTTGGAGGAGGTATACCGCTTCCACCAAAATAGCCTACCGATTCCGCAAAATGGTTACATATCTCTTTCGGCAAATGATCTCCGCTTTCGGCGACCAGTTGACCAGATAACACAGTTACCTTATACTTACATTACGAAAATAATGGAAAATAGGAGACCAACTATATAAAATTGTTTTTGCTGTAACGCAACATAAGAAATAAATATGTGTGACATTTTTCAAATTTATGGGTGAACATTCACTCGAGAAACTTGTCATCTATGCTTGCAGCCTTTGTACTCATTTTAATTCTCTTACTTGAAAGCATATCTACTGTTATTGGACTCTATTATATATGATGATATCACTAGGAATAGTTCATCAGATAGATCAATTATTGAAAGAGGTAGACTGCTTGGAGAAAGAGGTAGACCACTTGATGGAAATGGTAGACCATTTTTTTTTTTGTATAGTGCCTTTTGATGAAAGAGGTTGACCGTTTGTTGAACATAACAAATGAAAAATAGTACATCTGGTCCACCAGTCCAACAATGAGGTCGACCATTTTGTCCAAATAGACCATATTAGAGAGGAGGTCGACCATTTTTTTCAAATAGGTAGACCTGATCATTGAACAGGTCGACCATTTTGTCCAAATAGGTCGACCTCATCAGTGAACAGATCGACCGTTTTGTCCAAGTTACGGTGACTTGCAAGTCACCATAGCAAAGTCCTATATTGCATTGGCAGCTATCACAAGGAAGAGCCAGTGCTAACTAGTAACTCCTATTCCTATACCGACTATCATTCTAAATACTAATTATTAGCCAAAACTTTCCCGTACTTTAAATATTAACCAAATTTTTTGAAATACAAAATACTTGTAAAATCTTTTGTAACGCATTAAAATACTAACATTTTCTGTTATCGTTAATAATTTTATAACTACTTTCTTAGTTAAAATACTAAAGTTTTGAAATTTTGTAACTACTTTCTATTACAAACAAAACTAATAACTGGAAGTTAGCATTTGGCTAACATTTGGTATTTTGAAAAGTCTGGCTAATATTTAAAAATGCGAGAAAGATTTGGCTAATAATTAGTATTTATCTTTATTTTTAATTTAAATTTAATGATGGGAAGTAATAAGACCGGACCAGCGGTGCATTCATTTTTAATTTAGTATCTTAGTTAAGATACTAAAGTTTTGAATTTTGTAACTACTTTCTATTACAAACAAAACTAATAACTGGAAGTTAGCATTTGGCTAACATTTGGTATTTTGAAAAGTCTGGCTAATATTTAAAAATACGAGAAAGATTTGGCTAATAATTAGTATTTATCTTTATTTTTAATTTAAATTTAATGGTGGGAAGTAATAAGACCGGACCAGCGGTGCATTCAGTCCACTTTGGTCGGTCCCAATGTCAATTTGATTCATTTTTCCAAAATTTACTACTATTTATAAAATTTATGAAACCAAGTATCAAACGATATTATATTTGGTTTAGTGTGATATGATCCAAACATTGATTTGGTCTAATAAGAATCAACCTATTACACACCCCTACAAATAGGTAATATTATAAAATCATAAAATTTTAAGATTAAAATCAGGATAGACTATGTTGCTCTTAAGTACTATATGAGTTTAAAAATAAAATTTTACTTACTGCAATTTGCAAAGTATTATTGTTGAAACCGACTGGTTTTACAAGTTTTTTATTTATTTTATTTTGAGAGCACTAGTTTTACAAGTTGCATGCATGATACAGAAATCCATTATTAAAAAAATTCAACTATCGCCATCATTGATACTATTAATGGCAAAGAATTGTCGATATAGAAAGTTTGATTATTATGACATTCAAGATTTATTAATCAAACAGTCAGGATGGCCGAGTGGTCTAAGGCGCCAGACTCAAGTTCTGGTCTTCGAGAGAGGGCGTGGGTTCAAATCCCACTTCTGACAATTTTCCAATTTTTTTTTCTTATTCCTTAATCAAAACATGATTTACCGGTTGCGGTGAACTCTCTCTGTTTTGCAGAACCACTTTACCCAAACCACGAGCTGGAACTAACAGGGTTGCAACGCGCAGCAAACAAGCAATATGACGCAGCTTTGGATGAGTAATGGAGCTCAAAATCTCAAGCTAAGAGAAAGGACAAATCTTTCCCCCCTTCTTTCTGGGATTTGCATTTTTCCCAACTTATTGTCTCAGTTATAATTACAGGCCTGGGAACATGATACATTCTGCGCTACTACTACTTCTACAAATACAATGGATCCGTCCACCTCCGTTGATTCAAATTCCTCTACTTCCATTCAGCTGTTGTTGGTCATAAAAATTTCCACCCTCTCGCCCTCGTCTTAATGGCGAGATAACAAACCCTTCGCTTCTTCATAGGTCATCAACATAATGCTCAATCCATTTGGAAAGAGCATCATGAAACTAAGAACCATCCTACTTCATCAGATCTAAGAACACGAAACCATTCCACAGGCTGTGAAGAAGAATTGGGGGTAACAGGTTCCTCGACCGTGCAAAAACGACCCCCATCACCACCCCAAGAAACACTAGTGGCAGCATCCTCTGTACATTAAAATGGGCCAGGGCAAATGCGACCGAGCTCACCAGTATCGCGCACCACACAGGCATGTACTTGGTCAACGACGGCAGGAGGAAGCCCCGGAACACAATCTCCTCCCAGACTGGAGCACACACCGTTACTACCATGGCATAAAGAGCCATTGCTACGGGATCACGTGCCGCAATTGACTGCTCAACACTCGAGAGAGTGACAGGTGTTGAGGGTAGAATGGGGAGAAGGCTGAGGTTGAATTGAGAGAGGCGGTTGACTAGGGGGAACATTAGGCATCCGAGTGCAACATCGAGCATCCAGTTGCCTCTCGGGGTAAAGCGAAACCAATCAGAGGATAGAGGGCGGAATTTTGAAAGGCAGCGGTGAAGGATTGCTATACCAGCAAGGCCCTCTGTAACGTCAGTGACAAGGCTGAATAAGGCTTGGCCTCTGAAGGTCAGGGATTCCTTGTTGAAGCCTGCCACATGGGCCGCAAAAGGGACAACCCAGGAGCCTATGAACCAGAACGTGACTACCCAGAGAAGCATGACCTGCATCATCGAAATTAAGTTTTTTAAAAATAGCCTGAAGAGGAAGATTTATGGTACTTCTGAATGCCTTAAGTGGAAAACTTTCAACATATAAAATGGAGAAAGATGACATGTGATGAACCTTGTACTCATATTGCTAACTAAGATAGCAGTTTCAAACAACAGACATCACCAAACTATGCTTCTGTAATTTGTGAATTTATGAAGGAACTCTAAAGCTTTTCATTTAGTTTTTTTAGTTCTCCAGTATGATTCATTTAATAAATGGTGGAAAATATTTTACCTGGATTATGGTCTCTGCCGTCCATGGTACAGTCCACCGACTTCCAATTGCCCTTTGCACTACATCAAACACCTGCAAAGATAGCATAGTAGTTGTTATGATCCCACTTTCAACTTCAAAACAAAAACGGGGAAATTGATTGCCACGAATTCCCATGGAAGTAGTGCAAATAAAAGCAAGCTCTTGATTCTGAAACTCTTTTCAAAATAAACAAGACGTTTAACAAATAAGTCCGGAGAACATTGATAGAAGTGTTAAGACATTCATGTTGAGACTAGTTTCCTTAATCCTACTCCCATGAAAATGGCAATCTGAAGATAACAAACCCTAAGGAATTGTTATGAAATGCATTTAAATTCTAAGAGAAACCAGTTTTACATTATATTTTTCTATCTTGCTTAGAATAAAGTACCACGAGAAGGTGAAATTTGATGCATTGGTACCACATAAGAACCAAGTTGTCAGTCACATTTTCACCAACTACAGTCCGATTTCTCGTACTAGCACATCGAAATCAAACAGACATGGAGACTAGCAATCACAACAAGAAGCCACTTTCCCAATCAAGCGTTCTCATAAACTCAGCAGGAAAACACACACACACACACACACACACCTTTCTAAGATTAGATATCCATTCCCTTTTAACCGGAGCAGAAGAACAACAGAATTCAGGTTCTTGCTTAAGTGGCTCCTCTGGAAGCAAGTGGTCAACTCCATCAGACTTGGGATTCGCGGGGGCAAAATCCTCGTGTCTAAAACAAGAAATCCTCCATTTCTGAAAGAAAACCAAAACAAAGGCAATCGTTCAGGCAAACTACCCCTTCATCACCATAATCATGCAGCTTTCTCCGCTACCCATAAAACCAAAACTACAATCTCTCAGCTCAAAGTGATCTAAGTGAGAAAACCCCCAATCGTCTAGTAGAGCCAATAATTGAAAGAAGGCAGCTTTATCAGAAGTAACTTTACATTCTTGTGAAGCTTGGAACTGGGTTCAAGGACCCGGGGATTCCTAGCCGAAAGAGACGAGGACCCAGGGCGATTAAGAGCCCTAAACTGCCTGGAAAAGGAAGGGACGAGGTTCGGCCGCTGAGAAAGGGACTGAGAGCAGCAACAGCTCAACATTTAGGAACCCCCAAATTAGAACCCCAAATTGATCCGCATCACAAGAGCGAACAAATTCCAATCGGCGAGCTGGAAATTCCCCGTCTTCAGTAATCGGAGGGGAAGAAGGAACGGCCCAAAGCCCTAATCGGTACAGCGCGGACGTCGCGGTGGCGGTTGTTGGAGGAAAGCAGGAAGGTGATTAGGGCCGGGCTTGGCAGTTGGAGAAGAAATGGCAATGCAATGCGCTTCGCTTGGGATAGGGAGGAAAAGGATGAGCTGGAAGCTCAGCTGTACTACGGGAGATTTTTTTTTTTTTTTTTGTTCCAAAGCGGAAGAAAAAAAGGGGAAATTGCAAGAAAAATGTGGTGGCTCCGTGGCTGTTGTTTTCTGCAAAATTTAAAGACCGCGTTTGGGAACTCGTATAAGATTTTTTGCTCCTACTGTCGTGGGTATTAAATTAGGAAGCGTGGGATTGTAACCCCAGATGTTTGGGAAATTAGATTTTTCGGCCGGAAATAATATTGGTCAACCTTTTTCATTTTATTTTAGGGCAATGTCTATTTTTTACCCAAACCTTTCCAAACTTCTTTTATTTTACCCAAACCTATCAAAATACTATGAATTAACCAAAACGTTAACTCATCGTCAACTTTTCCGTTAATATTGCTGACTCAACATCACGAATCTGAGTTGGCTTCTGACGTGGCGGTCAACATATCATTTTATATTTTAATTAAAAAATAATAGAAACAAAAATTAATAAAGTGAGTCGCCGTCCACAACACCCTCCTCTCCTCCTGCTGCCGCCGAGCCGAAACGTGAAGGAGAACACAAGGGGCATCGCCGCCTTGCCTCTGAGCCAAGGAGGAAGAAGAACGACGGGCAGCTTCATCGGTCGATCTCGCCGGCGCCGTAGAGACCCATCTCCTCTCTAGCCGGCGAGGAATCTCTATGATTCAAGTGCTCATACCCCTGCCGCTAGTTCGCGAGTCCAGGGAGGTAGGAACTAGTTCGCCCATCTTCAATTTTAAGGTTTGCGGAGCCATCATCGACCAACTCCTCCCAAACCGGTATAACAAGCATCGCCCTCGGCCTGAAATTTCACCCCGCCGCATCTTGCTCTCCGGCTTCGGCATCTTGAGCGCCTCTAACATTCAATTGATGAAGCGGAGGTAGGACCAGAAGTCCAAAATGACGACACAGGTGACCAAGGCGCCGCCGGTGTTGGTGGGTCTGGTGCGAAGGACCTCAGAGAGGAGAAGAAGAAGGTCTGTATCTAGATCTCTCTCACTCTTCCCCACTCTGCCTCCCTAACTCTAGGATTAGGGATTTTAATTGGAATTAGGGTTGGGGGAAGGAATTGAAATTATGAATTTGGAGAAATTTGACTGGCTGGGAAAGGAATGAGGTTTGTGCGATAGCGGCGTTGATCCTACACGAGGTGTTCCAGTCTAGGCCGAGCCGCCTCAGATCCATGTTCAAGGAATAATCGTAACGGTTTTGTGGCAAGATTGGGGGTTGCGATTTTTTGGGTTTCAAAGGTCTGGTTCTGTGAGGAAGAAAAGGTTGGAGGAAGAAGATTATAGCAGCGGTGCTGGAGAAAGGAAGGGGCGAGCTCCTGGTTTCACCAGCAATGGTTGCGAAGAACTGAGGAAGAAGAAGCTTAGGGAGTTGGTCGGACGAGTTGTGTTTTTTTTTTCTAAATTAAAATTGAAATTGAATATGTATTCATTTCTGACGTGAACGCTGACGTGGAGGTTCGTTACGAAATAAGTAACGGTAACAGAACGAATGCCCAGACGTTGATCAGTTACAATAAGTTTGGATAATAAATAGAATTTTGATAGGTTTGGATAAAATAAAAGAAGTTTGAAAAAGTTTGGGTAAAAAATAGACATTGCCCTTTATTTTATTAAAAACAAAAATGGAAACCAAACGAAGCCTTGTCCGTTTCATTATTGCCAGATTTGAGATCACTTGAGCTTTGCATTATTTTCCCAAGTACCCTGCTGCCTTTATCACCCATATACAGCATAATAATGGTAGATGATTCTTGACATTGATGTGGAAGATCAATACAAAGACCAAAACTCCGACTAGATCAACAAAACAGTGTTACAGATACACAAACACATGTTTGGAATCAGCAAAAATGGAACAACGATTTCTGGAACTACAGAGAGAAGTTCATACCAACCTCGATCAGCGAGGTCTGAGGAATCGACAGAGCTATCGAAGGCGCACGACAGTTCTTCCTCAAAAACGAGTACACAATGTTCTTCCAGAATGGCGAGTTCCACTTGGCCTTGCTGTTCGAATGCCCTATCACATACGCCCCCCAAACTTCTTGGCTTCCACCAGTCTCATCACTTCGTCCTTCACGAACGAGTCCTTGTACCTCGTGTCGACCAGCTGCAGCTGTACCCTAGCCTGAACTTCACCTCCGGTGATTCCTGCTCATCGTACATCGCCTTCAGCTTCAGCAGCGTTGCTGACTTGCTGCTGGTTATGTTCAAGGAGCTGTTTCTTCAAACCCTTTAGACTTTGAGATCCCAAATCACTTCCCGAAATTCTCAGACGATTTTACATCCTCCACCTTCCGCTTCCAGCTGGATGAACTCTGCAATGCTCATAATCAAAGCATTCTCGAAGTCGTACTCGTTCTCATTTTCATTAACATCTTTGTATCCATTTCGGATGATGCAACGGTATATTCTGTAGGATTTAGGGCATATCCTTCCCACAAGGTATCGTTTCTTTTGTGGGACGAAAGGAACAAGGATGGTTTGTCACAGACAAAGACAATGACTTGGTAGAATGCTGGTAAGTTGGTTTGGAAATGGGAGAAAGTGGCGGGGACCCGTTTGCTAAGTGATTGTGGATGAGACCTAAACCAGTGATTCTTACAATGTCGAGATCTGAACCGAGGGTGAGGGTCCATTTCATCGGAAGTTTGTGGTTTTAATCATACAAGTGCTTCTTTCTGCTGCCGTAGTGCCACACTAACATGGTGAACAGGAAGATGGAAGAGAGAAGTGGGACCCATCCACCCTGGAGGATTCTTACGTGGTATGAAAAGAGGAAGGTGAGCTCGATTGTTTCGAAGAAGACGAAGAAGGAAAGTTCGAGAGCGAGACCCTTGTGCCATACAAAGTAGATGGATAAGGAGATTAGGGATGTGGTGATGAATATCAGAGTCATTGATGCTATCCCTGTAAGATTGAAGTTGGGTATGTGTTAGTTTCTTATAGAGAATCAATCAGCATATCTGTTAGATAACAAAATATGCATAATCTGATAATGGAAGTATGCCATATATAATGATCTATGTGAGAAGCTCACCAAGCTAAGGATGCTGGGTAAAATACTATTACATGTATAACTGTTAGCTAAAAAAGAGAGAGATGCTCTCGCTTCTCTCTTCGGCTTCTGGAGAAAGTGCGAGGAAATCCTCCTCGCCCTTGTGACGGCGGTTATGGCTGTGTGCCTTAAGCAACGAACGACGAACGCGCAACTAGTCTTCTCTATGGGAGTCAGTAAATAGAGCGCCGTCGTCCGGGCTCCCAGGCGGCGGGTTTTGCAAAAATGCCGCCTTTGCCTTGCATCCACGCAGACAATGCGGATCCTTGGCGATACATGGCCATGGAACCATAACCAATCAAGAATGTCAATCCAAAATAAGGAGTGGTAAGCGGAATATGGAAGTCTACCCGACCTTGCTCGATGGTTCAATCAAACGAAAACGTGTAGAGAAGAAGCCCGTATGGTGCTTTACGCTTCCGTCTTCAATGGAGATGGATGCTGTTGAGGGCGATGTTCTGGGATTGCCCCCTGTGGCGACATCAGATGAACCCTTGCGTACTAAAGGTAGGATGGATGAAAATTGTCCATCTGCGAATGGTCGTTCAAATAGAAATGAGAAACCCCAATTCGCGGCGGCGACCATGCCGCTCAGTGATCGGATCCGGATTGTTGGCGAGACCACGACCTATTTGAACGAAGAGGCATGCACACTTCTATTTGAGTAACCCGCATGCTGATACGTTGAAAGCTCCTCATCTGAGACTTGTTGATTAGGAAGCAAACAAAAACTTCCCATGCCTGCAAAGAAGTGAATATAAAGAAAAAATTCCACCTGGAAAAAAAATCAACAAATGGGATTAAAATGAATCAATTTAGCAAAAAAAAAAAATGATTAACCATGTATGCACGAAGACGACATATTTAAACAACAAAAAGAAAGAGAGGGTCCAAAATATGACGAAGAAAGCGTCGAAAACTACTTGTTCAGAATGATAATGGCGCAACATTCCAGCAAACGCACTTCTATATAGGGCTGTTAGCAGTGCGGTTTCGGTTTTAACCGAACCGCAATCGACAATCATCCAAAAACCTCAACCGCCACCGACACCTATTGCCTTGTCGGTTAGCCAAAAACCGCTGTCAACGGTTTCGGGTCGGTGTCGCGTTTAGCTGAAGACCGACGCAGGGGGTGGATCTGGCCGGATTTCTGGATCCGACTGTCGAATCTCACCGCTGAATCGCCAAATTTTTGGATGGAACTGGGAGTGAGATGGGAATTAGCATCGGTGAGGAGCTAGGAGGGCAAATCGACAGAAGTAGGGGTGATAATCACCCCTTGCATGTCTTCTTTTATTCTATCAAGTGACGGCGACGAACACTGAGGAAGGCATGGTGACGACGGCGGACAACGAGGAAGCAGGGGATGGAGACGGCAATGGACGATCGATCTTCACTAGAGCAATCCAACAACGACCCTCTTCTCCTTCTTGGCCTTTGTTCGCTGAATCTCGACTATCACTGCTTTCTTATCGGCGAAGGAGAACCAAATCGCCGCTTTTGTGACCTTGGATCTGGAGGATACAGAGAAAGGAAGAAAGGGGGAGAGGCGGAGAGCGGCTAGGGGAGAGGGAGAGACAAATGCGCCTTATTGTTTTTCGATACGGGTTAGCGATGGAGGAGGGAGAAGAAGGGAACGGAGAAGAAGGGAGAGACCGGCGAGAGGAGAGGGAAAATCTTGTTGTCTTGGACGAGGAAGAGGAAGAGAGTGGGGGTTGGCTTGCAGTGGGAGAAAAGGGATTTTGACGGTTTTTCGGTGAACCGAGTTTACCTTGGTTACTTCACCCGCGGTTTTCGTTGAGAATTATAACCCAAATCTGCCAACCGACGCCGACACCGCCAGACTGTTATCGGTTTTTAGTTCGGTCTGTAACCGACAGTTCGCTTCGGTTGTTCGGTTAAACCGTGTAACCGACAACTGATTGTAACACCCTACCCTATACGTATTACCTAATCATATTTTTCATACAATTGCAGCAAAAATAATCTCGGGTGTTACATTAATTACTAAATTTACCCAAATAAAATTTCGACATAAATTACTCGTGTAATGGGCTAAGAGTTCTTGCAACTAGACCTGCAAAATAATTTATACGAATATATGCATTCATAGACATACATATATACTCACAACCATATACATTGGCTTTCATAGCCATAGTCACAGTTTTTATACTCCACAAATGCATACCATACTTATACATGCCATAATCATCAAAACTTACACAATTACACAAATATACACACATCATCAACTTTCCACACCTGTGGATATCTCACTCTACATCAGAAGCTAGTATGCACATGAAAAACGTTCTCAAAACATTTTTACAAAAAGGTGTGGATCACTGGCCAAAATCCCGAGTAGTAGTCCAAGCACAGAATAGTTGAAGACCATACCTCATCTTGCCTTCAACTCTTGCTCAGCTCCCACCTATACACCTATCTATTGCTGCTGATGATGATGATCTGCTTACACATGGCATAAGCAGAGAAAAAGGATAAAGAGGGTCAGCTCATAGCTGAGTGAGATAATCATAGCATCGTGAGTTCATAACAGAGCATACCCCTACCATACATCTAGCAAACAAGCCAAAGCACTAGGATCAGACCTCAGGCATCCGACATCCCAATAGGCAAAAGACTCAACCACCTTGACTTATGCATATGCATCTTATCATGTTTTACTTATAGGCGCCTGGCTACTCCAATGTTAATAACTCTCCCGGGAAACATACCCCACATCCCGTCGGATGTAGTCATACATACCCCAACATCCCGTTGGATGTGGTCATACATACCCCCACACCACTATGGGTGTAGTCATACCCCGACACCACTCTGGGTGTGGTCATATCTCGTAAGAAATCTTCAGTCACCACCACATGAGAGGTGTGACTATCATACATATCATAATAGAGTAATAGCATAGGGAGCCCTAATTACTATGTAGTTGACCGTGAGACCACAACACTCATATTTGGTATCCTTATACATGATTCATATCTCATCTTGCTTAATCATAATTCATTACTTGGACATGTTCTTGACCTGGCCACAATTGGCTCAACATAGGTAAATCAGGAGTCGTATAATTGCACTTCCTCGGGGTAAACCCTCGTGCAAGTCATCCTCCTTAAAACATCATAATATCACCCTGGGGAGTTTATTTCCCCACTTGTGAATCCAAATACAACCACAAAATCACATCATGTCAAAACACCTGATCGAACAACCATGAAGCCATATCAACAGTTAAGGCACAAATGGCAACATGTATGCAATCATCAGCATAAACAAGGTCCACATCGATTAGGGCAAGTCAATAATATCATACAGCAGTCCAGGGTTCAACATATAGCACAAAAGTTCATACACCCCTAATCATGTCATTCTAGTTCACCTAGGTCAATTCTAATCATCAATATAATTATCGTGATACGACAAACCCGGTATGCCGTGCTAATCCCTCACCAGTTCTGGTCGTTCAAACACCGGTTTAACCTTCCCGTACTAAAACGTCAATTTGTTGAAATACTATCAAAACACTCGATTTTAAATCGTGAAATTTCTAGCAACCGTAATACGAGTTTTGTCGAAACGGGATGTTACACTGATTATCACCCCTACTTCTATAGACATAAAGAGGGGAAGTGGCCAATTCTCCAAACACTATGTCAAAGCTCTGATACACTAACAAAAGGAAATGCTTGCTCCAAGTTCTATTCGGCTTCTGCTTGATTAACAAAAAGAGAACACTGAGTTTCCACAAAAAAAAAAAAGGTTTAGCATAAATCAAGTTCTGAATGATGCAGATAATCTCTGCTACTTAAGACTTATATTTCACATATCTAAACAAAGCTCAATGCAACTGCTGCTACCAAGCATAAAATGCCATCCTTTTCTTTTCCGATTTAACCATTTCAATGGTCTTTGTTCCATATGCATTCTAGAAATAACAAACATCCAAAGTAGAAAGCTAAGGACCCATAAGAAATTTGGGATTCCTAAACCGGAAAGGAAGAAACTTTCGTTGACCCCAAAAGACCACAACAATGGGGACGAGTTCCAAGATTTGAAATGTCCCCAAAGAGGAAGTAACACAAACGCTACCCAAGTTAGCCAAACCCATCACATGCCGAACATATTTTCTGTCTTCCCAAATTGAACGTGAATCAACGAACAACCGCAAACGAGTTACAATCATATGTTCCGACTCCGACCTCAATGCAAGTCGTGTCCAAAAAATGGCGACGAAGTGGAGAAGAGGAATCGAAATGCAAATGGGTCCAAACTGGAATCTAATAGATTATTAGAAGACAGGGGGAGCGAGACAGTTACCATGATTTTGCCGGGAGGTGAGGAGGGAAGAACACTGGACCTAAATCAGCAGTTGGTGACGAGAGAGAGTGGAAGGAAAATATAACAAGTGGTTTTGGTTCGGGGTTTTCTCGTCGGACGATGCTCTAATGAACTTGATCCAAATCCCTTAGGCGGGACTGCATTGTTTCTTTTCAGAATTTCAGTGCTCTGATGTTAGTTTTACTAGAGTTAATGAGGATGGTTATTCATCACCCTAATTTTTACTAATCATCGCCCTAAGTTTATGTAAAAAGTCCTAAATACTCTTAATGAATATCATATTCTCATAACATAAATATCATATTCTCAACAAAAGAATATAACATTCATTAATGACATTTGGACTTTTTACATCCTTTTAGGGCGATGATTAGTAAAAAGTAGGGCGACGAATAGCAAAGCATGACTTAATACTTGTGGCGTATAGTGGGCAGTTCAGGTGACGACAAATAAGAATTTTCGTATTATTGGCAATGATG